ACGCTAAAAACAAATTATCATTTCATTACCTCGTATATTTAAATAAACTAATTGAACAGTCGCGGGTAAATGTTTTAAAGTGAACAGTTTACAAAACTTAAAGCTTAAGAGATAATAGGAGGAAAAAAAAAAAAGAATTTCTTTGCATTGTCCAATAAAATTAAGTGAAATTATATGACTTATGTCAACACCCAAAATTACCGTACAATAATATCCAACCCACCTTTAGTCATACACAAACATACATTGTAAATAGTGGGGTTTTTCCGGCTCCTCTGGGGTGGGGGGATACCCCCCCTTTACAACTGAACGGCAACCCCCCCTCCCCCCCCCCACCCAACTTATTCCGGAGAGATGCCTGTGTACAGCAATAAAACATTGAGATTTAAAAAGAACAAATCAAATTCTTATTTTTAAAAAAAATCAAGAGTAGTAAGGGCTACCTTTCACCCATAAACATAAGTGAAATAGTGAAACAATTAAATATCTCTCAAATGGATGTATTTGATTATCCTAATAATTAAGGCGAAAAACAAGATTCACTTTTCGATTTTAAATACCGTACCTTGTTGTTTTCGGACTTAAAAATATAGGCCGCTCCTAATTAATAAGCCCTACCGTAACATCCAGTTGTTTGTAAGTACCGGTATTTTTAATTATCTGATAAATCCCTTAAAACTTTACATTATGGGTTAAAGTGCGGCCTACGCTCTAAAAAATACGGTATTAAACTACTTTTTATATCGATATCAAATCCTATAATTATTATATTTCGCTATATTTCTTGCTCAGTATCAGACATATTCGCATTTTATTTTCAATTTTCATTCATTTCTTTCTAAAACGATACATACCTTTAAGGTAAGTCAGGTTGTTCATTATCAATAATATAATAATTTAACCAATATCATGCTTTACAGACACACGCCTAGCTATTAGTAGAAATTTAAATGTAGTCGAGGCTATGAAATGTTGAGCTGATTTTTTTAAAAAAAGGAAAACTATAAGCAATTGATAAATTTTTTTTTTTTTAAATTTAAAATTGAGTTGTTTTTTTCCCCACCGCATCAATTATTATTTCAATCGAATTTGTTGTGTTTTCTTCTGTCTTTTAAGTTATTTCTTTTGTGACACGTTTGCTGCACAGCTGACAGGATTTTTAAAAAAATGCAGATATATTTAGTTCAAAAATTATTTTCTCTATTAAAATATAATAAATAATCGTTCCTGTCTTATCGCAGGCATTTTATATTTTTATATCTACATTAGTATCAAACAGAAACATTTTTTTTTTTGCCTTCTTGCTATATCATAAATAAAAAGAAAATCCAGGGATTTCAAGAACATAATATGAATTTTATATAAAAGAAGCTTGTCCAAAGACGCCAAATATTCATTTAAAAATTGTTTGAAGAAAGTTAAAGAAGTTGGCTAATCCAAAGAAACCTTTTAATCAATTGAATCTTATGCCTCAACTTTTCCTGAGATCAGTCACACATTGTTCAGGTATGCGCAAATAATGCAACCCTGCATTTTAAATGTATCCAACATCTCACCAAACTGCTCACCCACACAACATTTGCTCAGAAGCCATAGGTGGCCCTTCATTTCTAACTTTTTTTTTTTTTACAACAATAAATTTAAAAAACAACAATGTCTTTTCTTGCAATTATGTAAATATTAAGTTGGACTAAATAGATTCCAGGAGAATGGTAAGATGAGATCAAAAGAATATCCCAAATGACGCCAAAACCGGAATGAATTTATTTTATAATCAGGAAGGATTGGGGGGAAAAGGGGGGGGGAGGGGGCTGGTCTGCTCGCTAATCCACCTAATTTTGGGACTGGCAGATGCACTGTCCACTCTTGACCTCATAGTGATTATCAAGAACAACTAACTTTATTCATTTTCAAGCTTTCGGGTCTGTATCTTCTCTAGCGCTTTCCAACTTTTTTATATCTTTAATACATCTTTCTCCAAGTCTCTTCGCCGGGTGTTTTTTGGTCTTTCTCTTAATCTTTGATGGTTCCATACCAGGATTTGTCTTTTTATATTTGGTATTGGTTTATACCAGTGCTTGTTTTGTTATATTTGGTGTGTGTTAATACCAGTGCTTGTCTTGATATACTTGGTATGGTTTTAAACCATTGGTTTGTCTGGTTAAATTTGGTATGGGGTTTAAACCATATGTTTGTCTTGTTATATTTGGTGTGTGTTAATACCAGTGCTTGTCTTGTTATATTTGGTGTCTTTTAATACCAGTGCTTGTCTTGTTATATTTGGTGTCTTTTAATACCAGTGCTTGTCTTGTTATATTTGGTGTCTTTTAATACCAGTGCTTGCCTTGTTATATTTGGTGTGTGTTAATACCAGTGCTTGTCTTGATATACTTGGTATGGTTTTAAACCATTGGTTTGTCTGGTTAAATTTGGTATGGGGTTTAAACCATTGGTTTGTCTTGTTATATTTGGTAGGGGTTTAAACCATTGGTTTGTCTCGCTATATTTGCCATGGGTTTTCTCATGGTATGACCTCTATTCATCTCCACTTTATTCTACGGATTTCTTGATGCCCTGGGATTTGTGCTGTTATTTCCATAACTGCTGTGTTCGGGATGTTCTGGAACCATTTAATGTTACGCAAGTAACTGTTCACGGGTGTTTTTAGCTTTTTTTTTACAATCTGTCTTGCTTTATTTCCATCTACCGGGGCAATATAGCAGAACAGTAGCCTAAGGTAAAAGCTCATCATGCCTTCTGTACTCTTGCCTTGCTGTCTGCCTCCGATCCCCATCTTTACTAAATAGACCTTCTTTTTATATTCCTCCGACCCCCCCCATCCTTACTAATATACTTCCATGCTATCTGCCTCCTGTCCCCCGTCTTTACTAAATATACGTCCATGGACATTCCTCATTTAACAGCAACTACAAAAGTCATTACACTAACTTATTCGTAAAACCCATTCTATCCCTTAGCAATGTACCCCTTGTCGGCTTGGTTCCCAGGCTATGTCTTCCCTTTCTTCACATAAAACATCTATAATGCCAAAGTCGACCCCTGCCTCCTCTATTGTAACGGTGTCCCTGTACCAGCCCCTATCGTTCCCTCGTACAGTCCTGGTCATTTGTGACACCCTGTTCGTTTGCTAACTTGATTCGTGTGAGAGACAGCCATCGTAATGTGAGTCCCCCGCCCGTATACTACCCAGGCTGAATTCTCTACGATATGGGCAGTTACGATATACTTCCTTGCTATCTGCTTCCGTATCCCCCCCCTCAAATCCTCACTCAATATACTTTCCAGGTAGGTAACATTTTCTAATTCTCCTAGTCCTTTCCCTCTTATTGCTACAGCTCATGCGCTGTTTGCATTTATTCTCATTACTTTAGTTTCTTTCCCCCCTTTGTTGCAAGTCTTATCTGTCAGGACATTGAATCAAGATTTGCAGTTGTGGCTTTTGGATTTGTTGATGGCGTTTGGATATTAGAGCGATGCCATCTGCGAAATCCAGGTCTTCAAATGTTTAGAAAGGGTCCATTGTATTACATCCCCCTCCCCATATTTCTTTTGCACCTCTCACTATCCAATCTATGACAATAAGTAACAGGCAAGGTGACAGCCCAGTCGAACCCCTGACTCTATCTCAAAAGACTCTGTTCTCTCACAAGCTTTAACTAATAATACGGAAATCTCTAAATTACCTTTATACACAAATCTTAGAGACTTTGCTCCTAATTCGTTAATTAGTATCCTCGTTGTATTCGATAGATTCAGTAACTTTTACGGTGCTAGGGGGATGGATGGATTCAGATTTAATCTGGCTGTGTTTTTGTTTTATTTTAAAAATAGTTTCTTGTTATTGAACATCTAAATGGAAAGTTATTTCAGCGATCGTTATCCAGGATTTGGACGACGGCAAACACGCTAGATTAAAAAAGTATTCAAAAGTATTCAAAATAGTTTAAAAGTGGTGTTAAAGTGTTCAAGCGTGTTTGAAAGCGATAAAAAGTGTTCAAAAGTGTTCAAAAAGGATCAAAATTTTTTAATATTTTTTAAAAAGTTGTTTAAAAGTGTTCAAAAGAATTCAAATATGTTCAAAAGTGTTTAAACGTGTTCAAAATTGTTCCAAAGTGTGCGAAAGCATTTAAAAGTTTTCAAAAGTGTTCAAAATCATTTAAAATGTGTACAAAAACACTTCAGAAGTGTTTAAATCAATGCACACAAAGAAAAGCGTAACAGGAGTCTTCTATTGCGAATTTTTGTTAAACACGGTTTAATAAAATATTACCTTCCCTTTGATGGCAAAATTATCGTATTGTGCATACTCACAGTGATGCACACAAGAAATGTGTCAAATTTATCAAACACAATCTGTTGATCTTGGCCACCTAATCGTAGAGCAATGGGTCGGATATTAAAATATAGATATTGACATTGAATTGTGTTGAAGTTTAGGCACGATCACGTCTGTGCCGAGGAAAGCTGAAGCCGGGACGAACCTGAAAATAGTGCCCCACCCCTCCCTCACATTCATCAACAAACGATGTATGTTAAAGGCAATATTTGAAAGTATTGTCTGGTGACAGCGCCCGGGGGGCAAGTGCCCACTTTAGTACGGCCCAGTTAAGAATAGAAGCCTTAGCTGCAGTTCCACAGTTACAGCCCATAAATTTGTGTAATCTATAACACAGTGGTTCCCATCATTTTTGACTCGCTGGCCCGTTTTTTTTTCAGAATCCCTTTTCTACGGTTGAGCCCATTTGGCTTAAACTATGTCTTACAAGTTGATAGCATTTAGGAGCTTCGTGGAAAGGCCGCGTTGTCCCTGAGAAGTGTACGCGTTGGGCACACGGGTTGGGAACCACTGCTCAAAATAGATTCGTGCTATTTATAAAAGCATTACTATTTCAAACAACGAAGAAAATAACGTTTTTTTTTAAACAACGAAACAAACAAAATCATAAATTTTAAAAACAAAAATGGAAAACACGGTGAGTGGAAGTTAATAAAAAAATGTTTATTTCAAGCACAATATTTTGGGAATGGCCTTGAAAATGTTGGCACAGTCTTAAGAAGACACACGCATGGGTCACGTTATGTTATCAGGGCTATCTGTCCTGACATCCCTACTTGTTATAGCCATAGGCACGGGGCATAACTGTGGGAGACATAAGCAACAACTTTAAATTTTTTGTCACGAAATAGTTGTCTTTTTGTTGTTTTTTTTTGCATTTGAATTTGAATAATAATGATAATAATTTTATTAAAAAACGAGAAAACATCTCGAAAGACTGATACTACATGTATCGATTGAAAAAAAAAAGAAAACAGTACAATCTTACAACAGAGTTTTAGCTGTTGATTTTTTTCATAAGGAAAACAAAATTTGCTTGTTTATATCCCTTGCCATGTTTCCTAATCTGACACAGCGAACACTCCTATCAACACTCCTATCAACACTCCTATCAACATTCCTATCAACACTCCTATCAACACTCCTATCAACACTCCTATCAACACTCCTATCAACACTCCTATCGTTTCTCACATCTTTGAACTGTTCACGAACGAGCTTATGATCTTCTTCTTCTTCTTTTAAATATTAAGGGTCCACGATCAATTTATTGATCATTTTGGCTCCTATGCATGTAGAGGGGATCTGCAATGTTTCTGTGCCTGGTGTTGACGAGGACATTCAACTGATTTCCAGCGCCACTTTGTGAGGGAATCATGCACTGGGGGGTTTGAAGCCTTGAGGCAGTAGACACAAATGAGTCTAGTGTTGTCACCTCAACTGTTCCTTTTGAAAGCTTGTACCAGTCCCTGATTGTCTTGGGCAGGAATGAGCAGCTCCTATACTGGCTTCTTGCTGGTATGAGCCCGAACTGCCTGACATGGGGGAGAGGGACGAGTTTCTGTTTAATACTGGAACAGTGGACCAGCCCATTGTTTATCTTGTACATAATGGAGAGCCCGGATTGTCGTCGTCGTTCCTCCAATGGTGACCAGCCCAGTGTTTCCAGCATGCTGCCAACACCAGAGGTAATCCTAAAGCGGTTCAGGACAAAGCGTGCTGCTCGTCGCTGGACCGCCTCCAACCTGTCACTGGTCTTCTGGGTAAATGGGTGTCAGACTGAAGATGCATAATCTAAAACCGGACGGACAAAGGCTTTATAGGCTCTTTCTTTCACAGAGGAGTTGCCAATCTTTAGATTACGCCTTAAGAACCCTAGGGTCTTGTTTGCTTGGTTACATACATTGTTAATATGCTCGTCCCAGCGGACCTCTCTTTGAATGGTATCACCCATGTACTTTACGGAGGAAATTGGCTCAAGTATATGGCCGTGCAGTTCGTATTGGTAGTGTAACGGAGTACAACTTCTAGAGACTGATAGTGTCTGGCACTTGGCAGAATGAAATTCCATGTCCCAGCTCATCTCCCACTCAGCTAACTGATTGAGATCCTGTTGTAGCTGGTCCTAGTCAGATCTGTTGGCTATCGTCCTATACACCACTGTGTCATCTGCGAACAGCCTTGTTTGTGATGTCAGTTTCTCGGGTAGGTCATTAATGTATGCTAGGAACAAGCAGGGGCCTAGCACTGATCCCTGGGGGACCCCTGACTTCACATAGACAAAGGAGGAGCTTGTACCATCAATCACTACTGCTTGGCATCGGTGGCTCAGAGAGCTAGATATCCATGCTTTAGTAGGGCCTTGGATCCCATATCTCTGAAGCTTGAGTAGAAGCAAACTATGATTCACACGGTCAAATGCCTTTGCGAAGTCCATCACCAGCACGTCAGTCTACTTGTGTTTCTCCAGATTTTTCATCAAGTCTTCTACAAATTCAAGGAGCTGGGTCTCACATGATCTATTGACTCGGAAGCCATGTTGACAGTCATTGAGTATATTTTGGCTTTCAAGATGCTTTATGACTGTGCTTACGATTATGTGCTCCAACAGTTCGCAGACCACGTTGGTGAGGGATATCGGACGATAGTTGGCAGGGTTGGAATGCTCCCCTTTCTTGTAGATTGGAGTGACATGCGCTGTTCTCCAGTCTGCTGGAACATTTCCTGTGCACAGCGACGATTGGAAGAGGATTGTCAATGTAGGAGCGATTTCTTTGACCAAATCTTTGAGCACTCGTGGTTTGATGTTGTCATGACCACAGGCTTTGTAGGGGTTAATGGTTTAGGGGAGGGCAAGCACACCCTGTTCTGATATCTGGATATCTTCCATGGCAGGGTAGGCTCTGTTCATCATTTTGGTCTTCAGAAGGAACTCAGAGTACTCTCTACCGTCACCAAAGACCGACTGGAACTGCTGATTTAGTATGTCAGCCTGTGCTTTTGGGTCAGATGTCTATTGGTCATCCCACCTCTGGGGAGAAACTCCAGCGTTTGAGGACTTTTGGTGCTTCACATAGCTCCAGAAGCGCTTGTTCTTGACATCTTTGGTCGGGGTGTCTTCCTCTGAGAAGATGCCGTTCATGTAGTTCCAATATGATCTGCGCAATAAGCGTTGAAGGGTTCGCCGGAGCCTCAGTACCTCCTCTCTCAGTTCAATTGAGACATATGTTTCATTCGTTTGTATCGGCGGTCTCTCATGTGGATGAGCCTACGGATTTCAGCCGTGACCCATGGCTGATTTATCTCTAGAATTGGTGATCTTGTGTGGTATGAATTTCTTCACTGCATAAGTGATTGTTGTCTTAAACTTCACCCACAGCTCTTCTGTTGTCGCTGTACCCTGAATCCCTGAATGTTTGAGCTCAGCTCTGTCGTTGCAATCCTCAGGCCATCCCAGTCTGCCTTGAACTGTTCATGGAAGAGCTTATGATCTTTGAACTGTTCATGAACTAGCTTATGATCTTTGAACTGTTCATGAACTAGCTTATGATCTTTGAACTGTTTATGGACTAGCTTGTGATTTTTGAACTTTTCATGAACTAGCTTATCATCTTTGAACTGCTCATGAACTAGCTTATGATCCTTGAGCTGTTCATGAACTAGCTTATGATCATTGACACTCTGTAATTTCCTCTGAATACCCAAAGATTTGGTAGTTATCATACATGGACTTTTCTTTAAAAACTTACGAATCTACCGAAATCAATCATGGTCTAAAATTGTTTTTAAAAAATGCTTAAATTTTTAAAAATAATTTTACTGTGTGTGTGGTGAGGTGTGTTATGAGATGTGTGCGAAAGCTAAGCGGTAAAAAAAGTTACATTTTGACTTCTACTACTTACAATAGTTATGCTGGCACGTGCAGATTTTGTAGTCGAAATAAGTTCCTTCTGGGCAGGACATTTCATAGCCGTCCAGGAGGAACTTGTAGATGTCACGAGGATGGGGCGTCCATTTCTCATAACAGGCTGCAGACAGCGACCAAGGGAAACGTTACAATGTGAAAACTGTATCATCTTTATGTAAGTTATAATGTGACACTGTATCATTTTTAATAAGGTACAATGTAAAACTGTATCTTCTTTTTACTAGTTACATTGCGAAACTGTTTCATCTTTGTTACAAGTCCAGGGACAGTGAATGACGTCAACTCATTAATTACGTAAAAACGTTTACACAAAAAACATTTTAAAAAAAAAATAATAAATGCAAAAAAATCAATTATTCAACCAAAAGGTCCTGTGAATGACCCCCCCCCCTTACCTGTGGTACATGAGGCATCAGCCACACACTTGCCGGACTTCGCGTCAAACCTGTTCTTGTTGTTACACTGGCGATACAAGACCTCTCCATCATCACACTCCATATACGCGAAGCAAACACCAGCGACAGGGTACGTATTCCCATTGTATTTGGGGCCACACTGATCTGAGGATGGGCAGTGATACAACAACGTGTTACTCATTTTTTTTTAAATAAATTGTTTTTGAAACTATGGGGGACGTCTCTTTAAAAAAATCAAAAATTAAAATCTCTCACTCTTTAAGATTATGAAAAGAAAAACGGAACCGAAAAATTTATATTTCAAAAGGGTTTTTTAAAAAAAAAAAAATTAACCGCCTCGAACTACCCCCATTTAAGCCAAAGGCCCTCGCCCCCCCCCCCCCCGACCCATTTCTCATGTCTTTGTGTCATTGCTATATCAGCAGTAAATTATCAGCTTCGGAATATTGTTTTAGATGATATTCTAAATATTTTTCATGTACCGTATCCATCAACTCAACGAGAGAAGCGCGAACTGGACAGTTTGAAATGCTTAAAATATGTTATGTATATTCTATTTAGAAGGACCCCTAAACGTACGATATCCGGTGGTTTAATGTTTGTTTTCCCCGGGTGGATGGGACTCGTTAATCTTGGATAGCAACTCATCTAAGAGAAGGAACTCTGAATTCAAACCCGGAGATGGACTCCCGTAGGCGGATTACATTGGCACAATGTGCGGCTGTCACAACAGTCACTGCTTTCTTCATTAGTTTCTGGTATCAGGCTAGTGGAGGACATGGACACTGCTCCTGGGTTGGGAATAAAACCCCACTCTCTCATGTCAACGTCGGGGGGTGGGGGGATTGGTCAGAGCAAGATGAAAAAGCTAATGGACGCGATCGTTTACGGCGCCATGGGTCGCCCCACCCCTCAATCCTCGGTATTTGTATGGTTGAATGTCTGTGGTATTTAAAAAAGGAGCAGGCCATGCAAATTAACAATTCATTGGCTAAGCTTTCGAGCGATACCAAATATGTCCAGGTAGCATTGTAAATATAGTATTAAATCAAAGCGCGCCCAAGGGTCTTTTTTGCATGGATTCACCGCCCCCTCCCCGTGTAAAAGTTGTATATCTTAACATCCGCCCCCTCCCCGTGTAAAAGTTGTATATCTTAACATATTACTTTAACATACATTTTTTAAAACTTTAACTTACTTTTTAATTCAAATGGTAACGCCCAAAGTATTCATTAGATGTCTGTCACGATAATCTCATTGTGAAATAGAAATTATATAAATATCGATACTTCCCCCCGCGAATTTTCGACGTACGTAGAACGTGTGCATGAACGAGTTTATGAAATATCTAAATATTTCGGTTTCGGCCGAAAATACGTTTAGCTTTTGGTTTCGGCTTAACAATAGGCGTAACAGAGACAACATGCACTTAAAGAGGCGTTAGCTCACCCCCCCCCCCCCAAAACAAAACAAAAAAGAGGATGAACATATTTAGTAAACATGAAATTCTGACGCGCTTATATTTATCTACTTACATGCTCCTGGGCTGTTGGCACCTTCAGTTTGGTAGTTATATTCTGGATTGTAACTAGAAGACGGGTAGGTTGGCTGACTTGGGTAGGTTGGCTGACTTGGGTAGGTTGGTTGACTTGGGTAGGTTGGTTGACTTGGGTAGGTTGGCTGACTTGGGTAGGTTGGCTGACTTGGGTAGGTTGGCTGACTTGGGTAGGTTGGTTGACTTGGGTAGGTTGGCTGACTTGGGTAGGTTGGCTGACTTGGGTATGTTGGCTGACTTGGGTAAGTTGGCTGACTTCGGTAGGTTGGCTTGCTTGGAGTTGATGGTTGGCTTGGGTATGTAGGTTGGCTTGGGTAGGTTGGTTGACTTGGATATGTTGGCTGACTTGGGTAGGTTGGCTGACTTGGGTAGGTTGGCTTGCTTGGAGTTGATGGTTGGCTTGGGTATATAGGTTGGCTTGGGTAGGTTGGTTGACTTGGAGTTGATGGTTGGCTTGGGTATGTAGGTTGGCTTGGGTAGGTTGGCTGACTTGGATATGTTGGCTGACTTGGGTAGGTTGGCTGACTTGGGTAGGTTGGCTTGCTTGGAGTTGATGGTTGGCTTGGGTAGGTTGGTTGACTTGGAGTTGATGGTTGGCTTGGGTATGTAGGTTGGCTTGGGTAGGTTGGCTGACTTGGGTAGGTTGGCTTGCTTGGAGTTGATGGTTGGCTTGGGTATGTAGGTTGGCTTGGGTAGGTTGGTTGACTTGGGTAGGTTTGTTGACTTGGGTAGTTTGGCTGACTTGGGTAGGTTGGTTGACTTGGATTTGATGGTTGGCTTGGGTATGTAGGTTGGCTTGGGTAGGTTGGTTGACTTGGGTAGGTTGGCTGACTTGGGTAGGTTGGCTGACTTGGGTAGGTTGGCTGACTTGGGTATGTTGGTTGACTTGGGTAGGTTGGCTTACTTGGAGTTGATGGTTGGCTTGGGTATGTAGGTTGGCTTGGGTAGGTTGGTTGACTTGGGTAGGTTGGCTGACTTGGGTAGGTTGGCTTGCTTGGAGTTGATGGTTGGCTTGGGTATGTAGGTTTGCTTGGGTAGGTTGGTTGACTTGGAGTTGATGGTTGGCTTGGGTATGTAGGTTGGCTTGGGTAGGTTGGCTGACTTGGGTATGTAGGTTGGCTTGGGTAGGTTGGCTGACTTGGGTAGGTTGGTTGACTTGGATAGGTTGGCTGACTTGGGTAGGATGGTTGGCTAGGGTAAGTTGGCTGACTTGGGTAGACTATAGTGGGGCTAGAAGGCTGGCTTGGATAATTTGTCTGACTTGGGTAGGTTGGCTGACTTGGGTAGGTTGGCTGACTTGGGTAGGTTGGTTGACTTGGGTAAGTTGGTTGACTTGGGTAAGTTGGTTGACTTGGGTAGACAATGGTGGGGCTAGAAGGCTGGCTTGGATAATTTTGCTGGCTAGGATTGCCAACTGGTACGTAGTTTGATGCTGGGGAAGGGGAATAAGTAGCGCCGGGGGACACAACTGGGTTATAAAATATTGGGGAGTTGCTTGCTTGATACAATGGCAAGTACTCGGCGTTATTGTACCCATAACTAACACTCTGAGGAGCTAATTGAGATCGACTTGGGTTTTTCACTGCGGCAACTGGTTGGTATGTGTCATACTGCCCTAGAGCCAAACCCACGATGGACAGGGTGATGAAAAGCTTGAGGCTAGCCATTTCTTTGTGTCTTCTCAGAGCACCTGTATGAAAATGCCAAAGATGTGACTACATAATACTATTGATCTGTTTATAACAGGCCAGCACAACATACGGTCCGCGGGTTTTTAATACGGCCCGCCAGCCCCCCCCCCTTGCTATCCGCGACTTAACGAAATATTAGTTATTATTTTTTTTTTCTCAATAGCTTCTCCCCCCCCCCCCCTCCGTTTCCTTTTTTCTTTCAGCCCGCGCTAGTTTTTCATAAAGTATAACTGCCCGCCTTACATTTTGAGTTGTGCAGGCCTGGTTTATAATACAACAACAAACTAAATAACATATTTTTTAACGATCGGAGCTATTTGGTTCATATTTTTCAGTGTCTAATAAAAGTTCATATGAAGTTAAAGATTCAATAAAGATATTAATATTCAATTACCAGCTGGGGCAACACAATCATATTGCGCGTGTAAAGTACGGGAAGAGATGCATAATCTATAATAATATTTCCAGATGCACAGAATTGGAGGGTTTTTCTGCCTGTATGTACCACGGATCTTGTTACTTTTTACAATATCTAGTGTCTGTGTCCTAATCTGGTATTTAAGCCAACTATATTTTAACAATTATTTCCACATTTCTGAGTTTATCATCATTGCCAAATATGAAGAGGAGGTGACAATGTGGCAACATCGTTTTTGAAACTCATTGACGTAGACGTTCGCTTGTGTGCATGTGTTGCCTACGTCATCAAGCGCACGCCTGGGGAAGCAAGGAATGAGTGCGCAGCACGGTGCGCAATGAGAGCGGGGCGGACAAGATCATCTCGGGAATTATTATTATAGATTATTATCATAGATTATTATATTCCATTATTATTATATATATTTTTTAAACAATTTTAACTTATGTTAGTTTGTTTTTAATTAAATTGTTATTAAATATGTACATTCCATCAAGCGGTCCATCTATTTGTATGGCCGTATCAACACAAAGCTGAAAATCAATAAAATTAGTTGTTGTTTTTTGTTGCCGAAACCCCTGGTCATACAAATATCGTTAAAAATTAATCAGCGTTAAACAAAACTTTCTGATTTTAAACTGATGAATACTAGGCACTTCCACACTATAAGTACGATAAATATATTCCTTTGTGTTGTAACTAAAGAACCATGTGCGTTTAGGCGAACTTGATTTATAGATGAGGCAATCATTTCAAAGTATTTTCTTTACTTCCTACTGCCAACATTTTAATCCATTGAATGTTAATGTTTTTTGAGAAATGGTGTTTATTTAATGATAAAAATCAGAGTTTAAAGACGTTTTTATTTTTCGCTTTTGATCACGCCGATGAAATACAGGAATTTTTTAATTTTTAATTTATTTATTTTTAAAAAAAAAATAACCTTCGCATTTTAGGAACTAAATTTGGCTGCAATGAAATATGTTAAATTAGAAGCCGTCAAAATGTACGATCGCTTCAATGGCTCTCGTCCTTACAATACTGTTCCGATGGCCAGCTAACAAATTATTGAATATTGTGAGTTGATCTCTAAGTGGCTGTTTTGTAAGTTGCGGATTTTGGTTTTAAAAGAGTTCCACGTAATTATGTGGCTCTTTTTCATTTTCGGACAAATTTAATGTACACCGATGGCAATAAGAACTGTTAATGTCTGTCACGATTTTTCGTGATTCTGTCTACAGAAATTCGGGACTACTGTAAACCCTTACCTTGACACCAGCCCCTGTATAATGGAAATTTAACAGGAAAACCTAAACACCAGCCCTTTTATACTGGGACCTTAACATGAACACCTTAACACCAGCCCTTGAACATGAAGTCACCCATTTAAAAAAAACGGCTTGTTGAAATTAACTGGGGGGGAAAGTAACAAATTAAAAAAAAGTAAAAAAAAAAAAAAAAAAAAAAAAAACAGTAAGAGACTTACCTGCAGTTTAAATCTAAATCTCTGTATCAGCCGTGTGGCCAGTTATCAAGTAATGTCTGGACAGAGGTGGGATTATTATTATATACTCCACACAAAGTTCTTACGTCAAAAGGTAGGGCATATTTTTAGCTCCTCAATCGTCTTCATCTTTTCATTCGGCCAATGGCGTGCGATGTCGGCCAAAAGAAAGAAAGAAAACCTAAATAAAACTATACCCTCAGTAATCTCGGGGCCTGGATTGACATCATTTATGAATTAATTATAATCTTACGATTTGGGAGCAGATAAAATGGTCTTCGTCCTACTGCCAATATTTGATATTCATAGGAAGGATGGTCTGTTATTTAAAAAAAAATAACTGTCCGATTGTTCAAGTCCAAAAAAGGGGGACGGTGTGGATTAATATTGTGAAACAATGACGATTAACTGAGAACATGTTTGAGTGAATGATGTAGCTGTTGTGAAACAATGAGGATTAACTGAGAACATGTTTGAGTGAATGATGTAGCTGCGATAGCAATCTCTCTCTCTTGAAAAAGAAAAAAAAAACAAAGTTTATTACGTTTTGCGTGTTTTTTTGTTGAATACTTTAATGCACTCCCCAGCGTGCAACCTTTTCTACACAACTGAAAAGGATGAATTCTGGAATGTGTTGTTGTTGTTGTTGACTTTGATAAACAGTTTGTTTTTTTCCTTTGGTTTGATTGTTATTGCTATTTTTTTGTTATTGATGTTGTTGATGTTGTTAAAGTTGTTTTTCACTTTAAATAGGGGTCAACTTTTTTTTTTCTTCATTTAAAATAAAATTCGTCCTGAACGTGATTAGTAAATTATTTTTATTTTTATTTATTTTTAAAATAATTTTACAGTTCAATGTTCTGAAACGGCTCTCTACTCAACTAGTCCGAACGACCAGGTTAAAGAGTTAAGCTTTATCAATCTAAATTATAAATGTATTTGTGATAAAATCACAATTTCCTTGCTTCCTCTGCTATGAATTTGTTTTCGTACATTTAAAACCCGTGTTTATTAAAATCAGACACATCAAATGGAATGCCGCCACATTGTTGATTGATTATTACTTTCTTAATCATCATTGGCTTTCTGGGGTGGAATCGTGGTAGAGGGGATCATCATTGGCTTTCCGGGTTCGAAACAATGGTCCCCAAAACAATTCAGATGGGCTCATCAAGTTTCTTTTTTTCAATTCACGTTTTTTGTGGTGCCGTTATTAGCCATAAATCAATGATTTTCCAAATTTGTGAATAGACTCTCACTATACAATAGACTTAACTGGGAAGCAGCATTTTCGGCCAGATGTATATATATATATATTTTGTGGGGGAAAAAACGGAGGGGATGGAAAGGCTATTGCCCCGTCCGCGGTGACACAACCCTTCGCTACGCCACTGGAGGCGCTCCATCTTACTATTCCTCATGACGTCAATGTAGCTGAACGCGAAATTAAACTTCCATTTTTTTTGTTTTTGTTTCTCATTTTCTTCCAAATACCTCGTGCAGTTTTTAGTGCACAGTCGATTTAAATCTTAAACCTCAGAACCCATGTATAGTTGAGATTATGGCTTTAATCTGATCCAC